ACAAAATAGTTTGTCTTGGGGAAGCATTGTAAAGGTTGTCTCTGACAGGGATCTCTTTGCAATCTCAACTCCGAGGGGTGGGGAAAAAATTTCTCTGGAATTTCCTAAATTCCAGCAAAGAAAACATTTCCCTTGAAATGCCCTATCAGTCCTCCCGCCTCTCTCGCTTCCTGACACTGCTGCAGTTTCTGCAAAGCCAGAAGGAGCTTTCAGTCTTCATTCAGAAGGCTGTCACACAGATTTTTAGTCAAAAAAAAGATTTGGGTTTAAGAGGCTCATAGCATCAGATGGCGTGCTCTTACTGTGGGCTTCGGGAACAGTTCCACCAGGTGAAACTTAACATAGCTAATATTTAATTTGCATAAATACAGAACTGGAGATCCTGAATCCCAGGTATTACACATCGGTCTAAATATAGCGAGTTGCAATTATTGATTCCCGTCCAAGGAGAGCCTGGGAAAGGATCAGTTTTCCACTTAGAGAATCAATCTTGTCTGTGAGTGTGTGTGAACGCTGACATTTTTGGCCTCATGCAGTTTAGGATTTGCTATAAAGTCATTTTGAAAGCTATGGAAACCCAATAATGGTAAGCAATTTAGCTCTTAAGCATAAAGCCACTGATAAAGCTGAGATAACTGTAAGCTCTGAAAAAAAAAAAAGAGGTTATGGATATAAGCAGTCTCTTTTGTCTTTGCTGTAAGATGATTATTTCAGATGATGAAAAAATGAACAATTATTTTTTTTGGTGTTCAGATCACTTGAGATTTTATTGCTTTTGTTTGTCCTTAGAAGTTTTTAGTCTCTTTTCTTATTCTTTTTTTTTTTTTAAAGGTGCTGTCCCTAGTCAAGTTATAAGGCAACATATTTTATTGATTCAGAACTCTAATACATAGTATGGCCACTGTTATCACTGCAGCTTCGCAGCTACCGTGGGTTGGACAACAGTCAAAGTGCACGACAATGCACAACAGAGCCAGTCTCCTGACCTTACGATATACAGGACACTTTGGTTCTCAGGATGAGAGATTATAAATGTAGCTTAGATGCTGCCTCACACACTTTGCATAATAAAACATTTATATGCTGTCATGAAGAGGGTGTAAAGTCTAAGTCACACTGCAGACTGGCTGTTCTCAGCTTCTCCGTTCGGGCAGGTGTGAGAGACAAGTTGTAGATATGCCACCAGTGAAAGCATATAAATGTGTCTGGTGCAAATGTTTTACAAGAGTATTTATAAATGATTCAACAAGGGAGAGCAAGAAAGAGAGTGAGAGCTAAAGTGCAATTTTAAAATAATATAAATAATTGAAACGTAGAAATAAGATACTAATTAGTTGTAACTGGTTTTGTTTTATAGGCACAGTTTAGTTTTTATGTCTACAGATCAATCTTTTTCTCTTCTTCCCCCTCCAGTAATTTTCTCTGATGTATAATGGAGTTTCAATGGTCTAAATCTAAGGAACACTGCTTAGTAAGAGGACAGAAGAGGCAATGATAAGGCAGTATAGTGCAACTCACTATGTGACATTAGAAAAGAAACAAGGATGGGGTTAGGTCTTTCGTGGTGATGTATGAAATCAGCCTTAAAAAAAAAAAGGAGAAAAAAAAGACAGCTTTCCAGTTATACGTTGACTCGTGCTTTCTGAAATTAGAGAGCACATTTTCCAATACAAAGGAAACAACTGAAGGTTTGTAATTTGTTTTGTTGTTACAAAAAAAAAAAAAAAAAGCAGATGCTGCTTTAAGGAAAACATTTAATTCTAGGAATTTCTGTACAACTGACCTCAGCAAGCTCTTCCATCTTAGATGGATGACTTCTGCTTGAGACCCCGAAAGATTAAGATGCACACACACCTAGAGTAGTTTATTGCAAAACTAATATTGTAACTTAAAAAAACCAAACAGATTCTGTACAAGAATACTGTTCAAATGGAATGTGTTAAAATAACATTTATTAATAAATACTTTATAAAATTCTATGTGAATACTAAATTAATAGATTCCTGTTTTAAAATTGCTTTGGTCCTCATGAATTTTCATAAATTCACTCTATACGCTTTTTTTTTAAAAAAGGTATTAGCTGCTAAAAAGCACATTTTGCCTAAACTAAAAGGCTAGTTTTCAACACTAAATATTGTTGCTTAAAAAAATATGAATCCTCAAAAGTTGGGCATTTAACAACAGTTATAGCTGGCTTGTTAGTTAACAGGACAGAGTCAGTTAACACACTAAATCCACACGCACTGAGGCACTGAACCATTGACTTTCCACTATTCAGAAGACGGGCAGCAGACATTTAGCTTCGTAGCAGGAATTAACTCCCAACAGCGTGAAATTCTCCATAACTCATCATCATCATCGTCGTCCTTATAAAACACACCATGATAGCACACAAACTACTTGTCTCCCACAGGCAGCGCTATGAATATGGCTTGCATAAACTGACTCGGGGAAGGGGGGGCCGGGGATGAAGGAACTGGATCACAGCATCGGTTCTTTCCAATCGAAGTATTGCAATTGTCCGTGGCTGAGATTTGCAACGTGCTTCCGATGTCGCACGACGAGAGGCGCCGTCCACAGAAATACCTCCTCCTGAGCGAGGCGCCGGCTGAGGCTCGCCGCCTTGTCAGTGCCCGGGACATTGGGCAAGGGAAGCGGTCCGAGACCTCTGCCGGCGGTGGGATGGGTCACAGAGCCCGGCGAGCCCGGTGAGATGCTGGATTTGCAGGGGCAGGAGGAAAGCGGAGAAGTTTCCAGCAGTAGCTCGTGGAAAAGCAGTATTTCTCCTCGACGGAAAGCGCCCGGGAAGTGCATTTAGAGTGACGTGCTTAGGAAGAGGCCACTGCCACCGACCGCGCAGCAGAGGGACATCCCGGGGGCAGAGGGGCAGGGGCTTCTCCCGCAGCCCTTGCTCAGGCAGCCTCCGGTGCCCGGCCGGACCGGCAGCTTGAGGAAAGGCTGCAGGATCACTCCCCTGGAAAACAAGAGCATTTTAATGTGGAAGCAAATCTGATGAATAATATAAGGTGCCTGGTACGGTTGGTCCTTTTACCAATGATATAGCCGATATAAATATGCTGCGTGTTGTCTTGGCCTGTGAACCTGCGACAGAGTTACAAGAAGCAATAGCAAATAGCTTTTCATCCTTTACTTATTTCCACATCACTAGCAAGGATTATACCTAAAGGCCAATAGTATAGAGAGGAGACATTTCATTGTAATTACACATTTAGGCCAACATGTGTGGTTGGCTTGCCTAGTTAGCATTAAAAAAAGAAATAATTGAGCTATATATAATACACATCAGTCAAACTGTCAAGTTGCTGAATTTAACAAAACTTAGGCAAGGTTTTTGTATTTTTTTTTGCTATTTTTTTTTCTTTTTAATGTAGAGGCTTTCAGTTTAACAGCTAAATATTTTAATTGAGGAGACTGAATAAAATGAAGCTAAACCGTAATTCTAGTGCAGTGTAGCTCAAGTGGGTATTCTAAAATTACCAACAACTTTGATTTTTATTTTCTAATGTATTTAAGTGCTACCCATATAGAGGGAAAGTTTTTTTAAATTAACCCTGCAATGGCATTTTCTTTTTCATGGTGAATGATGAAATTCAGACACAGGGGAAATGCTTATTTGGGTTTTTTTACATAGTGGATACGCAGCTGGAACATTTTGCTCGACTGCATATTTGAAAAAAGTTCCCTTGGGAGCTGTGGTGAAGCAAAACCATTTAGCTATTACAACTGGAGGTTAAAAAAAATTATAGATTCAGTATTTAAAACACTTTAAAAGTATATGTTTGTCTAAAATATAATAGAAAATCCTTTACATTTGTATTTTTCGTAGGTTTTTTTGGTTCTTAGACTATATAATCAAGTCAAGATTTACACTGTACAGTAAAAATCTTATTCTTTTGGATGTATTTGCATAAATGGAAAGCGAGCTGTTAATGAATACTGATAAAAAGTTATTTACCAAGATAAGAACTAATTCAGAAACGAATGATCATCAGAATTTTGCTTTCCCTTCCAGGTGGGTCCTGCTCCTTACAGTGAGTGCCTCACGCTTCAGCTGTTTCACTCTCCCTCCCACGCGGAGAAGAGCCACCCTTTTAAACTTCACAACTCCTCTAAAAACCCAAGACACAGCCTTTGAGGAGGAGAACTTCACTTCAGAACAAAGTATGTTCAGGGCTAGTGGATTTGCTGGGAATAACGTGAATTAGATTTTGCTGTTCAAGATGCAGCTCAAAATGTTTGAACATTTATCACCAGCTCGGAGTCCGTTCCCCGGGTAAGCAGCGGGAGTTTTTGCCGCTGACAGATTTGAGAGCAAAATCAGGTCCCAGTACACGGCAGGGCAGCGCAATTAACTGGCATCATCTCTGCCTGATTTTCCCATCAATCACTGGTTCCACTCGGGGATGCAAATCAGTTGTGCTGAGGGGCATGCCCAGAGTCCAAACAAAAACCTTAATTGTAGCATAAGGCTCTTTTCCAGACCCTCTTTGCAGGCTGAATTTTATCCGGAGTGCAGTGGGATTTGCCACTCTTGCAGCACTTTTTAGAAGCTGCTTGCCTTCTAAAAATTATTTAGCATCCTAATGAGACGGTTCCTTACTCGCGATAAACGAGTGTTAAGTGCCACTAAAGTCAGTGAAGCTACACTGCTGTCTGCCAGCTCGGGATCGGTCCATGGACGCTTAAAGGAACGCCTGCCGAGAGCAGGTCTTTCCCTGGGAATTAAAAACAGCGTTTTTCCAATTGGTCAGACCCCTTACGCTGATTTATTTCTCATTTATAGCCCATGAAACCTGAGGCTGTTAGCTTTCGTTGCTAGAATAACACAACCGGGTTAGGGAACAGAACTTTTCTGAATTATTACATACTACGTGTTTGGGTTTTTTTCTATGTTAATGACTGCCCGTGCAAAAGAATTGCTGTGATTCTCAGGTGTTGCTCGCTACGCCCGTACTGTGCCACAGAAGCTTACGGGGCTGCTAGCATCAACACAGCTGGCTTTCAATCCTGCTTCACCTGGGGCTGCGCTGCTTTCGCCTTGCGCTGTTTATTAAAAACACTAAATCAGGAGCATTTCTATTTTTTAAAAGGCAAACACTCGGCACAGCCCAGCTGTGGGTGAAGAGCTAGTGAAAGCAGCGGCCGCGCCGACAGTTTTTAGGTGGGCTTGAAGTTTTCGGTTGTTCATCACCGTTCTTAGAGAAAAAGAGAGGGAAGTGAGAAAGCCTTGGAAAGAAAAAAAAAAAAAAAAAAAACAACCAGGAAAAAAAACTGGGGGAAGAACAAAGTTTGGGAAGGGAAAAGGAAGGTGTAAGAAAAACTGGAGGAGAAAAAGGGCAGGGTAGGGGAGAGAGAAGGGGGAAGGCTAGACAAAAGACCACGCTATTTGGGCTTAATTTTGTCCTGATAGCCACATCCTATATAATGGCTTTGAAAGAGGCTCTGAATGCAAGACGGGGTCTGCTGATAGCACAACGCTAACGTGTTTTTTATTATGCTGTCAGCAGATGCCCTCTCTTTATATTTATAGCCTAATTAATCCTAGTTACCTATGTATGACTCTGTTTAATACTTTTCATGCCTCACGTTGGCTAACAAGCTGCAGTTTAACACAACTCTGTATTTCTGAGGCTTCAGGCTAGATTGGTGAGAAGGAAACATGACTATGTACAGAAACAGTTAGGTTTATAAACAAGTAACTGGTACCAAAAAAAACTGGAGAAAGCACCAAAGCATTTCTCAAGCTGATAGCATATTAATTGCATAACTCCCTTTTATGTAACTAAGTATAAAAGACATTTTAATAACTATAAAAATGAAAGCCAGAGTCTTTCAAGAACTGAGGAATCTTCCAGGCTTGAGTTACGGTTGCAAATGTCCTTAGCACAGAGGACGCTTTGATACGCTACCACACTTCCCTAGCAGTTTCTGATCAACCACTTTTAAAGGATGGGGTTGATGTCTGTTCTGTGGCTGGCGAGCTGGGTGAGAGTGGAGCTTCCCACGACGTCGCTGACAGAGGAGGAGGTCGTGATGGTGTTGTGCTGGATGACTTGCTGCTGGGAGCAAGCTGGGACCGGGCTCGCGGGAGGACTGCTCTCGGGACCTGGGAAGCGGGTGAGGGCACAGAGACAACACACACTCAATTATCCACCCAAGTAACAAGCCCAGCCTAGGTGACACTCCTGGAAAAGGGATGTACCACTACGGCAGCAATACTAATAACCTGAGGGATACAGAAGTCCCAGGATTTCAAAATACACAGTTATCCAACACTTTCCATCTTCTGATCTTTTGCAGTTTTTGTTTTTGTTTTTTTTTTTTAAACCAGCTTCTTTCATATCAACCTGACTTCAGGAGCTGGGACCTTGAAAAAAGTCCAAGACCTTAATGATTGTGAAACCAATATCAGGATAAAAAGTTTGATATCTTAAGGTCTATAGAATCAGTTGGGATGCTTAAATGCTTTATTCGCTCCAGCTGGAATCAAAAGTAGAGTGTGGTGCACTGCAGCACAGAAAATCTAATTCAAGCAACAGTTGATAGGCCTGTAATGCAATTATGTATTTTTTTTCTCTGAGTACTGTTAAAGAGCCAGATGCATAGTGATGCAGAGGAGACAGAAATGGGCTCTATTTTAAGAGAATGCCGCAATCTAGCAAATATTAACCCTGAGGCTCTTCTGAGCTGTTCTAGGGCCAAGCAAAGAATTTGTCCCTAAATTGCCACACTTGTAAAATGCATCAACTAGACAGAATCAATTCAACATCTCCATTAGAAGAGATTTTTTTTTTGAAAAACAACAAAAAAACAAAACAAAAAAAAAGAGTTAAAAAAGAGTCGACAAACCTTGAAAACCTGCGCCACGCCTGGTCTGCACCACTGTCAGAGCACAGTACCATTTTCGCTGGAGGGGACTGTAATGTTTTCCTTTTTAACTTTCCTTTTGAGAGTTATTTTTAGGTGCTGGCAGTGCTGCGCCCAGGAGGACTCTTGCAGGTTTGGAGCTGTGAGTTCAAGCGGGATCCTCCACAGGGGAGCGAGCGTCCATCCGTGTGCATCTCCTTGCGGAATGGAGGGGTGGGAAAGGCTAGCTCTGCTGCGTGGGACGCAAACCAGGGCTTTTTTGGTTTTGAGCAGGGCTGGATAAATAAGGGCAGGAGATTGGATGGCTCGGATGATGTTTGAGAAGACAGGTTCAAGTGAGAATATGACCAAGAAGGGGTTCTGGAGGGAAGAATTAGAAACTTGGCTTTCCTGTGAGGAGTGTGGAGACAGTGCAAACATATGAGCTACTTACTTAGATATCCTTGTGATTCTTTCTGCATAGCTGTTATCGGACAGTCTTTATGTGTTAACAATAACTGTTTCAGCTGTGCTACCTCATTTTTCAGCATGGAAACCTCGTTCTAGAAGAGAAAGAGAGGATCTGGTTTGCCACAAAGCTTAAATCAGGCTCTTCTGCAAAGTTTAAACCCAAGAACATAGAAACCGCTCCACAACTTCAGAAGAACTGAGCAAAAATACCACTCGGTGCTCATGTGGTGGGCTTATGTTAACGTTTGTCCGTGACATTATTTTATAACTCCTTCTGAAGGCAATTTGGCTTCCAGATTTGATGACATAAACTGACAAGCGAACTAACCCTTCACAGCACCAGAGATACTTTAGGCAGCATTTTATTCTGCTCAGGAAATACTCTGGCTCTCTGTATCAGGATGGGGGTCCAGACCCGTGGGGACAAATGGCAGCCTGCTGCTCTCTGGGTGGCGTGGTGGCAGGGCTGCTGTCACCTACAGCATGTCACCTACGGCTCCACTATGGCTGGTGCCTGGGTGCTGCTCACACCTCTGTGTTTCGGGGCAGTGCCATTACGCGCTCGGTCTTTCCACCCTTGGCAGCGCACAGGCACGCCTCCAGATGGAGCAGAAGTACTGTGCCCACCATAAGAAGGGCACCGCCATAAGAAGGGCTTTTATTATCATATTCCGGGTATTTTCATCCATCCGCTTCATTCTTTTCCTTACTGGTAGACTGATCTATTTATGCTCCTATCTCACTGGCTTTGAATGAGGGTTTAGCTACATGCTCTGAAGAAGTCTTTTACAGCTGGGTTAATGACACTTCCAAAAAAAATCCCCACAAAAAGCAGTGACAAGGAAAGAAAATAAATACAACTCCGTCTAGCAAAGGCTTCTAAATCCCAAGACAGCTTTTTCCTGGCTTATCCCGCTAAAATGCAATTATTTCTTTAATTGAAGCGCACACGTCTTGATTAATTGACTTTGATTATGCCTGCACTCCCGCTAGGAGCCGGCTGTGCGGGGGCAGCCCCGAAGGCGGCGAGGGCTCTCCGGCACCGCCAGCCCCTCACAGCACAAAGAGCCCCTCTGTGTCCTCGGGGGCGCAGACAGTGGCTCGCACCTGAAGCTGCATGTTTGTCTGGGTGAGCTCTTCTGCTTTCTTTTCCAGTGACATCACCCAGACCTTCCTCTTCTGTCTGCAGCGCGTGGCGGCGGCTCGGTTCCTTTCCAGAAATTTCCGCCTCCTCTCATCCGGGTCTTCGTCCACCACCCTTCTCCGGCGACCTCCGGTCGGCTGCGGCGGCTGTATCGTCTGCGTGGGCTGCATCTGCTGCGCTGCTGGCGAAACCTGGCGGGGGAAAAAAAAGGTTTGGCAGGGGGTGGTGAAGGGGGGGAAGTTATGGAGGTGGGATGCTGGAAGGGGAAGGGAAATCTCACACCCTCGTCCCACTCCCCGGCAAGGTCTGCAACAGGCACAAGTCGAAAGGCTGCGCCAGATGCCACTGAAATTAGCTGCTGGCAAACCCTTGCCGTAGTCAAAGGGGAGATTTTTTTTGAAACGATCCTCTGAATATTAGTAGGGAAAATATTTTTCCCCTTACGGTTATTAAAAACATTTCACTTAGGTACTTTCTCTGCCACCACCTATTTCAAACCTGAAATGTCAAGTTTCTCTCAGCAACTGTTTTAATCAAAGCAGTAGACTGTAGTGGCCTTATTTCTGTCTCTTTTCCCCCCAGTTGCCTCCAAAATTTTAGGCCATTTCTATCTCGCAGGCTCCCCCATCTCCATCTCACGCTTTACCACCTCTGGAGACAGGAGGTTCTTCGTGCCCGCATGGAGCCGGGAAGCTGCGGGCTGGGATCACACAAGGCCAGCAGACATTGGTGCCCCTCAGTTGGGGCCAAAAGAAAGGATTTAGGTACTTAAACTCACACCTGCGTTTTAGCATCCCTGCACTATGTGGAAAAGGGATTTTCCCCTTCTCAGGCATTTCCAATTTGACCCCTGTGGACGCTGTGCTCCTTTTTATTCAGCAGCCTGGCTTTGACAGCAGAGGTGCACCACATACAGACCTGCTGCTACGAAACTATGGAAAAATATGGATTTATGCTTTTTCAAGTGCAGGAGAGTGTTGGTCCGAATCCTGAGAGTAACTGGCCATTACAGAAAAGGCATGTGGCGGGGACAGCCCCATGTAGTCTGTGCTCCTGGGGAGATGAAACACATGCCCACATCCCTGCCAGGAACCAGCATCAGATTTAACGTTCAGCCGCCTGGGAATAATAGCCAGCCTTTGGGTTGCTCTCCTGCCTCCCCTGCTCTCCTGCTCTGGATTGTGCTCGGGGCTCGGGAGCCCGACTCACGGGTCCCATGGCTCGAGTGCGGTGGGAGCTGCTGCTCACCTTGCTGCTGCCGCGGCCGCTCCGGCACAGTCTGGAACAGTCTGGAAACCTGAATTGTTGACTCAAAATTAACCCTCTTGTTCTGGCAAAGGCCCAAACCTCCAAGGTGCTTCCTTTTGACTCCAGGGAGTGGACGTACTCAGCGCTTTGTCAGACTGAGCCCTGAATTTCAATTGCGGCAATTAACATGTGTTTGCCTAACACCTCTGTCTGTCTCAATTAAAATGATACTATCGTCTTGCGAGGTCGCTTTTCTGTCTCAAATCTCACCACAAACTGCAAAGAAGCGTTTGCTCCCTCCCCCAGCTGACTTGTGTCAATTAAAGTGGCAATTTTATGTGTAATTATTCTGTGCATCTGATAACGCTTTTTGCATAAAGCCGAATTTATTCCCAGCTTTATGTTGCGCAGTCAGGGAATCTCTCTCACAGTAGCAGAAAAAGGTTTTTTTAAAAAATAACCTTCTAAAAATAAATAAGCCACCCCTCACTTTCTGACTGATTTTTAAAGTTTCAGCTCGTATTAAGTTGTTATGTTAGCTGCTAAAATCTCCGACCTTCTGTCCACACCGGGGGTTGGGGCCCCCCCCAGCCACAGCGGCTGCAGCCACCCACGCCGCACAGGACCACTGACCAGCAGATTGTTGCCAAGGGATGCCAGCTGCTCCCCGTCCACCGGGGACAGGCACGCCACCTCTTTAGCAAGATGTCTGAGTGCAGAGGCCTCAGAGATCCCTTTTAACATCAACATCTCATCAAAGACGTTTCATTTACTCACATACAACACCTTTCCAGACTTCAGAGACGTGTTATTTACGGTTTGGGACAGCAAACGCTTTCCATATCCCATTTTTCTTCTTTTTCATCCAGCATTAAAAATTCTTGGTTTTTAACTCTCCCAGTGGGGTCTGCTACGCAGGCACAAAAATGTAACTATAGATTTCTTTTTTTTCCTCTTTCCCCTCATATGGTCATTTTCTCCTGAATAACTAGTGAGTCATTTGTTTTCAGAATGTACCGGTCAGTCTTTGGGCAGTCAGAGCGCATTTTCAGAACAACAAAATCTTCTCTCCATCTCTGGGAGATATTAATTATAAAGGTTGCCATTACATCACTAATAACGTCACGTGGGATAATTAACTGACTCTTACTAGTTAGCTCTTAACCCTGAAATCTATTAGGTTATATCTTAGTAATTGTCTAAGCATCATTATCTAACAGGATTTTGTTGCCCTGTCTAGGGACATAAGAAAGAAAATGAACATATATTAAAATTAGTATTTTTTAAAAGGATGCTAATTATGAATCCATAATGAAGAGAAACGTGGGACAGCTAACAGAATGCAACAACATCCAAACTACTGCTCTGCTTAAGCTACCACTCTGGCAAGTTTGATATGAAGAAACCTTCATGGCACCAACACAAGAATAATACTGACATCTTTTAGTAGTTAAGGCAACACAGCTACAACTTGATAAAATACCTCTCTTTCTCAGAAAGATACCTATCAGAAGGTGATTTCTTCTTTATCCTTGATCCAATACTTGTCTCTATTCTTTGCAACTTACTACAAAACTCATACCCATTCATTCATTCATTCTACGAAAGTGTAATTCATTGGGCTCCTGTGTATCAAAATGGTAGCTGAAAAGCATGAAATGAATTCTGACATTACAAAAGGGTGTGGTGTAGAATAACAACAGTCTCAGCATGGGACCACACGGCTCACAGCGGCGTGGACCATGCTGTCATTTGGCAGGTGGCTTGGAAGGAAAGAATCTGGCTCAGAAGAATAAGGAGGTTAATAAATAGTAAAACGCACCATAAAATTAATGTCTGCTGGAGCAATCTGACTCCCAAAGAGGCCATCACCATGGGGACTATGGATGAGCTTAGAAATGAATAACCATGTGGTTATTAGTCAGCAAACCCTTCTTTTCTCCCTGCTAATGCATCCGTTCAGAAATCACTACTGCCTTCACACCATGGGAGCAGACGAGCAGCAAGAGCTTTGCGGCCCCAGGAAGCTGCTGACCCTAGGAGTCGTGCTCAGCCTCATCAGCCATCGCCCTCCAGTGCCATCCTCTTGGTGACACGTACACCTATGGGTAAGGTGAAGACCTCCTTGATCCCTGATGGGGATCAAGGTCTGCTGCCTCCAGTGACGTGCTGTACTCACAAAGCTCATCTGACTGCAGGCCCACCCCGATTCTGGAGTGAATCTGACATAGCTTTGTGGGTGCCAGTCAGCCCACCTACCCTGGTGCCCATATTTCTTCTTGCCCACCTGCAAATCTTTTGGGGTGCCTAACAGGGAACACTTTGTATTCCCTAACAGGGAAAACAAAGCACATGGCATCAAGACTCCTAACTGGAATGACTCAAAACCACCTTCAGCAGCACATAAGTTAAGAGGAAGAGGTGGCTGTAGCACACTGGCTGTAGCACACCGGCTCATTCTATCTTATCCTTAAACCTGGATCTTTGTTTTCTCAAGTAGCTGTTTTCTCCTCACCTCTTAAAAGTGGTAATATGGATGTTTTGCAGCAGTGCCATACCATGGCATCTGACTCCTCCACCTGCATTAATATGTTTATCCTCCCAACCCCTTGGTGAGGTGTCAGTAGTATTACCCTTGTTTTAACCTCCGAGAGGTTAAGTGACTTCCTCCATTTCATCCATGGAGTCCTCAGTCTGCTAAGCACAACTTCACCCTTACTCTCTCACAGATCTCCAAGACAGCCATCAGGTTACTTCTGGTTTCTGTGTTATGAGATAATGTCTTCTTATTGGAGTTTTTAAACAACTCCAAGGAAAATAACTCATTAACAGATGGGAAAATAATTGAATTCACAAAACAGAAACTGAACTAAACTTGGGAAAGCTCTGGACATCTTCTCACAGGGGAGCCTGCTGCTCTCTTATTTAGACTGTTTCTCTAAAGCTGACAATTCATTTTTCATTAGCAAATGCTTTAGGGAAATCCCATGTGCTTGCAGCCTCTGCAATAATAAAGCTAGATGTTAGTAAATAGTTAATGTTGTGGGACACTGGGATGTCAGCCAAATCCTCTCATTTTCTTTAATGTTTTCTAAGAGCTTGTCTGAAAGGTATTTGCAAGCAACACAATACTTCACAGATTGAACTTCTTACGGCTGGCACTCTTCTTTGTCCTTTGCCCTACGCACCGCCTGCTTGTCCTCCTTAAATTTGCTCCCCTGGCCTGACATGTTACAGTCACTGCCCCCAGACCTTTATTTTTCTGGTGCGATCCTGATGCAGAAGCCTATCATCTTAAGACATTGACAGAATTCCTCTTAAAAATGACTCTGCTAAAGTCAGCTCACTAGTTCATTAGTTCAAGAAACATTCCATTCAGATATTGAATTAACCAAATTGCTGAAGCCAATATACCTGGTCCAAAAATTGAGACCTCCATCTCATTCAATGGAGACCTTCACTGAGTTCTCATCACCTGAATCCAATTCAAAATTGCCATCCTGGTTTAAAACTCTCTCCTTGCGCTGGATTCCCCATCTTTTTCTCCTGTCACAAGATCTACCAACTATTACCTGCACTCTCAGCTAATCTTGGCCTTCTCTCATTCTCCACAGCTCGGAGGTGCTACCCCCTTCACAGCGTCTGAATCCTTTTCTCTTTTCCTCTAAGCCAGTGTACCTTACCTTAAAACTACCTTGTCTTGACAGGAAATAAATAGCTCATTAAGTTGGGTGAGGTTCTTCATTTACACACACACACTTCTTCCTTTGAGCATACACACGAAGTGCCATTTTACTTCACTACAGATTGTGCTATGTATTTCTGTCAGTAGAACACATACAGCTCTTTAAATCTGGGCCTGAGAAGTTTAGGTTCAAGCACATTAAGCAACATATATAATATGCTAATCTCCATAATAAACCTCATCCATAAAAGGATATGTGGCAATTTGCAGAGCTCAGAGCACTGAAAAAACCTTGGAGCTCCTTATAAAGTAAGATATTACAAATGTCTAGCAAATTAAGCAGCAGAACAAGTTGCTGCTTCACCCCGTTTTCTGAATAAAGTTTGTGCTTCCCCACCACCATAGTAGACGTTTATGAGTAGCCCGAGGGGCCTGTACCTAACAAGACACGCGTGCAAGAAGAAACAATACAGGGATCAGGCCTTAACTGCACATAACAGCAAAACTCAGCGGTGTGGCATGGCATGAAGGTCTACCTGTGCTTGTCCGCCTGAGTGCAGCGGGGGGTGCGGCGAGGTCTGGTGATGTGCCGGGTGCGCGTGAAGGTGCGAGTGGGAGTGGTGGTGGGGATGATTCTGCTGGTGATGAGGCTGAGGATGAGGATGGTGCGCCGGATGCTGGTGCTGATGCGGGTATGAGTGATGAGGTGGCAGTGTCTGGTGCTGATGAGGATGTGAGTGCATATGATGGTGTGGCGTCTGGTCCTGCCGCGAGCTCATCATTTCCATCATGTGGCCCATGGTGTTCATATTCCCGTTGGACATGGCGGCAGGGTGATGAGTCAGCGCTGCCTTCAGTCTCTGGAACAGAACAAGGCAGAAAATTCAACATTTATACATGATGATCTGAGCAATCAGAGTAAGATTTCTGCTGTTGTAGAAATGGTGCCTTGTCCTGTGTTTTGAGACTTATTAGGGTTTTTTCTCTCTGTTCCCTTGATAAAAGGCATCTTATTTCAGTTTGAGAAAGAACATATCCTTGGGCTCTAATCTTGTTTTCCACTGTAAATACATAAAGATATAAACATCTGAACTGAAATTTAACAGTTACACATTTCCTACTGTGCTGCTGAGGGAAAATAACTGGCTCTCATCCTTTTCTCTTTGGCCAGCTCAGTAGCATTAGCTTCATCAAGCTCATGTTCTTGCAACTTTTAAAAGTCTCATTAAAAGAAAGTTCCCCTTTTGTTTTTACTACAGATATTATTTAAAAGACTCATTGATAAATATATTGGACTGGTGTGTTTTTCAAAGTCAGGCTCAAATATGTTCTACTCTTGTACTAGCACCCAACTTGGTCCTTCATCAGAAAGACAGTAAAATAATGAGGGTGGTCTCAACATGGTCCTATCTCTTCACTGGAAAGTTCAAACGTCTGCTGTGTTGTTACCACATGCTAATCCCTCTGTTTTGTGCTTCTCATGTTTTGTACTGTCACTGGATTGGGCCCTGGAGTCCTGACCAGGGCAAAACTCTTCTTAATATCAATGGGATTCCTTCACTTTTACCTGAACACTACCAAAGGGCAATGGGAAGGGCTGCCACATTTTGAACTGCAGGATAGGGCCCTTGTGTGCTACAGCTATAGCTGAAATACAGAGGAAAAAAGTTCCCTTCCAGCGCAATTACCGAGTCATCCCAAAGCTGTGAGCTGTACTGGCACACAGACACCTCGCTGGTGTCATCCTACCCTTGGACTACTGAAATCACCGGTGTCCTAGAAGAGTATGCCAAAGGTAGAGCCTGACAGATGTCAGCTAGAAAAAGGGCTCCTTCCAAACCCATGGAAACCTCCTTCATATCCATGGTTCTCCAGCTTGCTCAATGTAGAACGTTCTTTACAAGCAGCCACCCAAGACCTCTTTACCTCTTTACATTTTTGGGGAAGTCTATGTAAGCTTGGTTTAGTCTCACTAGTGCAAGTAATTAGTCAGCAGAAAATAGTACGATAAAAATGGAAGGAAGGTCTACAGTATCACTTGATGCCAGACTAGCATGATCTGAATAACCCACCAACTAGCGGATAATTCATTATCCAGCCAGAGGATATAATGAATAGCAGATAGCTCAGTAAGAGATGCCACCTATAGGACAGCCAGCAAGAAACAGCAGTGGTAAAAGGTACAGAGGCGTGCCTTTCCCCATAGCAATATCTGTGGGTCACAGATGATGGTCAGAAGATCCTACAAGCCAATGTGGCCAAAATCTGCCAGTGGAGGAGCAATGACGAGATTGAACTGCATTTTGGTTTTGTGTTTAAAGCAAAGAGGGTGACTGCCAGGACACTCAGAACCTATAGACGGGAATTTCAATCTAGTTTACATTGAAATAACATCTGTCCATGCAACTCCACTGCAAGGCCACAGGTAAAGGCTCCTATGTTCAAAGCTGCCACCCTATCATGTTTGTGCACCTGGGAGTGAAGAAGAAACAATTTCCTAAGGAGAAGAAAAAAAGAAAAATACTAGAGGAAAAAAAAAAGGTTGTGGAAGGCAAAAAGAAGTAAAAGGATCAATACAAAGTATCATCTCAAATTTTTGTATCCCACATGTTTTTTCAGACTTCATGAAGGTCATTCCACTGAGACACTCTAATAGATCCATTAATCCAAATTTGGTGGCTTATTTCACTAACAATCAATTGGCTGAACAAGACTTTGAAAAAAAAAAAAAAAAGATAGGTTAGCAAAACACATCAGTGCTTCAGTTTGCATGAAGGGAAACTAGACATGACTTTTAAGAAGTTTCCTTAAGAAAGCCTATCAAACCATGCCTGCACTATGGCATGTGTCACAACCTGATGGTCTTCTCAAAAAGAGATCAAGGCAACTATGACAGTGAGGTTAAGTATTTCCTTCCCTACCTCTAAAGTCAGAATGGAGTTCAATCTAACATCAATAGCAGTAATCCATCCTGGGTATAAAATGGAGGATTTGAGCAACTGTCGCCCTTAACATTTCCAAATTAAAGTACTACCGTGGTTACTGCAAGCAGCTCTTCACAATGCTCGGAATAACTGGTGTTACCCAGGACTGTATCGGGGAAAATATGGAAAACAACACATGAATAAGTAAAGTCATTCTGCACGTCATTCTTCAAAACTCATGAACACCTTTTTCATGGGGCTGAGCCACCATGCAGATGTAAGCCGAAGCACCAACAAAAGCTGTCTTAACTTTGTTTTCTGAATCAAAATGCAAAAACCCCAAGCTCTCATTAGCCAGCAGTTTTATGTGATGAATACGTAACAAAATCTACCAATGCTGTATTTGCCAAAGGCCTCTGAAACTGAACTACAGCATGTCTTATTCTAAACTGCAGACTTTCAAAGCTCAAAAAAAAAAAAGAGGGAAAAACTTAATCTGCGAATAAACATTTTTTTTCAGCTGTAAAAACTGTGGCTTATTAGTGTGGCATGACTTCAAGGAGAATAAATTATTTTGTTTTCTTTCCGTAGCCCCTTCTACCACATCCATTTATTTGAGATAGCAAATCAAGAGAGACAGTGAGAGGTCTGACATGCAGCTGGTTTCAGTCAATAGGGGTCATTTCCATTTGGTCTGTGTATTTTACAAGCTCCTTGTTCCCTGTTCCCAATGGGAGGGTGGGCCAGCTGCTATGGATCCCAGTCCTGGTAAGAAACCAGCTCTCTACCTCATCCTGTCCCAGTGCAGCAACAGCCATCACCCGGCCCTTGCCTCCCTTTAACTTTGTGCGTAGAGCCCTCCCTGCACATGCGCCCGGTGCAACATTTATCTCTCATTAACCAGTCGCTGCTGCCCATCGCAAACATTTGGGGAAGGATAAACATTTTTTTTTTTTCGTTTGGTCTTTAGCGAGATCAATTGTGTTGGCTGTTTTACTCAGAGCACAGGGAGGGAAAATCACCAGAACTTGGTGAACTCTTTGCATTGAGTATGTGTAGCGCTGGAAGAGCAGGCTGCGTTTTTGTTATTGTTCTTTTTATGTGTGCTAATTGCAAACAGCTGTTTTAATTTAGCGTCACATAAAACGTGATGGCATCAAAATTGAGATTACTGGACTAACTACATTAGCAAATCCCCCCTAGAATGAAACCATCACCCTCAACCTGACCCTATGGCCATTCAGTTTTTCAGGAACCGTGTGACTGACTTCACCGGAGCCAGCCGGTATCTGACAGTTGACAAACTGGGGCTGAAATGGAGGACTCGCTATGCAGATCTGCTCTCACCCAAACCCAAAATTTCTACTAACCTCAGTGACAGTGTCTTTTAGGGCACAGTCCCTCTTCTCTCCCTTTTATAGTGCAATTTTCAAAAAAATCCCCACCAACCTCAAGCCAAGAGGAAATCCAGGTGCTCATCCTACCTGGCTTTTGGCCCTTACTGATTATTTGTCTTATTTCATCCAAGTAACATAGTGACCAACATCAGTTACAGCTGATTTCCACTCAATCATGACATTTCCATTAATGGCTGTCAGTGACACAGACAACGTAAGAAGCCTTTCACAGAAAACAGCCTGCTCTGACTCTGATCAAGTGAATAAAGAAAATTCCCTTTTGATCCTCCAGGAAGCCAGAAGCACATAAACTCTCATCCTCAATGATTAGGAGGAAATAGAAACAGTGGATATTAGTGCTCCACAGGTATGAGTGTTGTGTTCCCGGTACTATTGGTCATGGTAATGCCCCTAACCGACACATTCACTCTGAAGCCACCCCACTGAATGTCATATGAAGTTAACACTTCAAAGAAGTTATCATTGTACCTGGAATATTAGATTTTTTGGAAACAGACAGTTTTCACAGTGCTTCCTCCATCTCAAGCCTGACATCATGGTGCAGTGAATTGCTTGATGTTTCCTTTTATCAACATAGATTATAATTTTTTCGCTGAACATCTTTGAGCAAACCGTAAGTCTGCCGAATAATGGGCTACAAGCATTTGTGATCATGAATGAAAAGTAATAGCAGCTTGCCTAACGCTTCTGCAGTTCAGGATCTTGCTGCTTTCTAATTTTTCTCTATTATGATATGTATTTCAAGGTTGCCTTGGGTTTTGCCCCACCTTTCTTTCTCCAAAACTGCTAGTGAAAAACAGACAGCATTTTTTTCAGTTTGTTAGAAGAAAAAAAGCATAAGATAAATAAAACTGTAAATTTGGAGGTTGCTTTTCCTGCAACTAAAAACTCAAATAATTTGGGGGTTTTCATATGTATATAAAGATGTATAATATTTAGAGCATGTTATATTTATAGTACAACAGGCTATAGACATTATATTGTGTGCCATAATCTGTACATGACAATAAACTACAATTTTCTCCCATTTATTCCCGAGTGGAGAAATGACAAAAAATCTCCTCTGTTTTTACAGATGTTATTACCTGAGTGGTCTGTGCTTACATGAAACAATAAGGTCTTATATCATCCAGCTGAATTTTAGGTTGGGACAGACATGGAGTGCTGGTTTTGAATAGGATTGCATTGTTCTGAATAAGTATGCATTGCTGCACTCAGAAAAAACTCTCTTCCCCTTCTAGTCTGCGTGCCCAAATCCCACTAAATTAGACAAGAGACAAAACCAGCTGTAGGTATCAGCTTAATGTCTGCTATATTCTTATCAGGAGATTATATCAGACCCCTGTAGGCATATGAAACACAATCTCAAAGATATTTTCTTGCGCTAGTGACTGTGATTCTAGTCCCTTCTATACAGGGGTGTAATAAGTTCCCCACAGAGGACAGAAGAGACTAGAAAGGGGTGGGAAATCAGAAAAAAAATACAGACATCAGGCATCCCCACTCATCTGCAATTAG